ATCATTGATTCAATCAAAACAAGCATTCAATCAAACGATCGTTTGTTTTCACTTTTCAATGCATTTATTCATCACAACAGCGATTACAGCGGACTCTGCCGTCAAGTCTCCAAATACTCCTCAACTTGTAGTTTGCAAATTAGTTGGGTTTCAAACTTTCAGAGTGTTTGGCATATTATTTCCTATGGGAAAGCGAAGTTTTTTCCATCTTAATCCTTTATAAGACTAATTTGAGTCTATGGAACAATGATTTACCATAGGCATCTATGGGATTACATCTTAAGTCTGACATAGATTTAACATGGGCAATGCTAAGTCTATGGGTAATGTTAAATCTATGGGGCTCATATTAAATCTGTAGAGAATGTTAATCTATTGTTTGAGTATTACCCGAATCGTGAACCGAACTTAACCTGTGATTCTTGTTTCTAGTAGAAACTATCTACCCTACAATATGTGCATTTTGCTTTTGAGAAAAATGAGCAATATGAAATTTAATGTTCTAAAAAAATCTTTAACAACCTTTAATCAATTTAATAAAATAAACACATAATTAAATAATTTAACTAAATCTATCAAATCTTCAATAACTGTAAAACAATTATAATTTAGTAAACTTTGATTTACACCTCTTATAGTTACAGATGTATGCAATTTGTGCGCCAATCATAATGTATGCAATTTTTTGTTAATAATTATTAGTAACAATAATGTTATTAAATAATATGAAACAAGTATAAATAGTATTACAGTAGACATTCGATTTTGACATTCTTCGGTGCTGTTAAAATTATGTTTTTAAATCGCCTGTCAAAACCGAATGTCTACTGTATATACTGTATGAGCCTTAAACTAAAAATATTCTCAATATTCAATACTGTACAGTAAAGTACAGTATATTCAATAAAAATCAGGTATTTGAAATGTTAGACATTTCCCTCCCAGGTCAAATATATTCCCAGAAAATTTTTTTGGGATATTTTATCTTCCTGTTAACAGAGAAAATAAGAAAAATATGGTCAAACGATGACCAGTTGATGAAGATAAATACTTTTTACTAACTGAATATGTGTATTTCAATATAGTAAAACATATTAGATCAAAAGATTTTGTTAAATCTAATCAATTCATTTAATTTAAGTTAATTCGTGACTAATTTTTTGAACAGATTTTTAAAAATACTAATAACTCAAACTATAGGCCACTGTTGGCCGTGGAAGTGCTGGAAGTGTTTGAAAGTAAATTTACTTAAGCCTACTTTCAAAGTGTTTGTCAGAAGTGATGGATGTATTGGTGGGGAGTGTTTGGGGGAAGCAGTGATGACGTGAGCCGTGCGTAGCGTTAGAGTGCACTCACACTCCCAGAGAGTGAGTCTGTGTTAGACATACAGTGAGTGTAGAGTCTGTTAGAGTTGTGTCAAAACGTAGACTCTGTTTGTAATCAACGATCGGATCAACTGATCGCTCGTCCAAAACAATGCCCCGAAAAGAGGAGCAGAGCGTCGACCAAGACTTGGATCAAAGCAGTGATCACACACTGGATGGACAGCAAGTGAGACAAGAGGGTGAGTGATGTCTATATGTGTGTACTGTATGTGTGTATAGTCTATGGGTATAAGTGATAGACTGGTAGGGATTGCCGGCGAAAGTGATGATCACATTCAACACATGGCTTTGTTTTGACATTCATTCACGTGTTTTGGTGTCCAGACATCGCACGCGTGGCCCTACAGGACACACATTGTGTCCACTCAATGATAATGCCATTCAAATCGTATTGATTTCATTGCTATACCATTCAATTGAGTCGATCGGATAACTATTACGATAACTATTACTTATTAACATATAAAGCATTGTTACCATGACTACCACTGCCACACACTCCAAGGCTGTCCCTCACGCACTGCCAATGCATTGGTGCCCCCCTTCGCACCCCCTCTACCCCTACCCTCCCATTCTCTCCCCTCCGCAACTTTTGGTGCACTTTGAAACACCCGAAACAGCTTTTATGTCCATTTAAATGCTTGCGGTATTATATAATTTACTTATTCACTATCTCACTATGGTACTTTACTTATTCACTACTTCTTACTTCAAGCTTGAAGCTTTAAGAAATACATGATAGAAATTATTTTATATTAATTATTAATAGTAATAGAAGAATATTCTGTGAGATTCTTTAGTGTTAACATACATTGAGAAGTAAAGTATATTGTATGAGATATATTGCAGCAAACTTTCATTATTACAATACTATAAGATCTACACTTTCACTGTTATACTGTATAATTCATTATTTGCGTTGAAATATAAAGTGACCATTGATTGCAATTTGAAATATAATTTGATTAATATGATAAATGTTGCAAATATAAGACAATTTGTTTGATATGAACTTTGATAACAGATGAAGAAGTGGAAGAGGATTGTGATGACGACAATCAAGACGACGAGCAACAGGAGGACGAGACCGAAATGGAGGCCGAAGACGACCAACAGGTCGGTGAGGACGGCATCAATGACTCGGAGTTGACGTATGGCGACGATAACGACAGCAACACTATTGAAATGCAATCGCAATCACATAAGAAGAATAAGAAACGAAAAGCAAATGGAGATAAGAAGAAGGGGAAGAAGAAGAAGAAGAAAAAGAGCAGTTCGGCCGACAGTCCCGACGAATCAGGGTTTGGACTCATAGATGAGCCGTCGGCTGAATTGGATGCCGATTACCAAACGGAGGCCAAAAAGTCACGAAAAGGCAAATCTGACAGAACACAGAAGAGTGTCGAAGAGATTTGTAAGGAATTTGATTTGGAAGACGTGTTCTATGAATATACAGAAGCGGATTATCAGAATCTGACTAATTATAAGCTATTCTCTCAACACATAAGACCTCTTATCGCCAAAACTAACCCAAAGATAGCGATGGGGAAAATGGTTACTCTTATATCTGCCAAATGGCGAGAATTTATTGCAAGCAATCCTCAGAAAGAATTGGCGCAAATCATAGACGAAGAGACGCCTAAAAAGTCGGGCAAACGGCCGAAAATAAAGTCCGTTCCGTCGATCAAAATAAAGATCGGAGGCCTTAACGCCAGTAAACGTAAGAAACACAACACTTCCGATGAAGAGGACAGCGCTGACGAACCCAACAAAAGTGATGTCGAGTTCGAAGCGGCGTTAGAAGAGGCGGACAGAGCGACGCCTCCGCCAAAAATGGATAAAAAGAAAAGTAAAAATTCGAAAAAACTTAAGAAAAAGAAGAAAACAAAAACGACCGCAAGTTTTCCGTCGGGTAACGAAAACTCTGAGAATGAGAATGGATATGAAACAGACCATCAGGACTACTGCGAAGTGTGCCAACAGGGAGGAGAGATCATACTTTGCGATACGTGTCCGCGAGCCTATCATTTGGTCTGTTTAGAGCCCGAACTCGAAGAAGCGCCTGAAGGCAAGTGGAGTTGTCCTCATTGTGAAGGGGAAGGAGTTCCCGATCAAGAGATAGAAGTGCCGCCCGAGACTAACAATGATCATCACATGGAGTTCTGCAGAGTTTGCAGAGATGGTGGCGAACTGTTGTGCTGCGACTCATGTCCATTGGCTTATCACACATATTGCTTGAGCCCTCCATTACGGACAGTACCTGACGGCGAGTGGCAGTGCCCGCGCTGTGCAGCGGAGCCTCTGAAGGGAAAAGTGGCTAAAATATTGACCTGGCGTTGGACGGCGATAGACGACGAGCCATTTATCGGCGAGAAGTTGACCAATGATGACATTCCCGCTGCTCAGCCCTCCACCAGTAAGAAACCGCAGCCCAAACCTCAACGAGAATTCTTTGTGAAATGGCATGACATGAGTTATTGGCACTGCTCTTGGATTAGCGAAGTGCAGTTGGATGTATACCATCCCTCTATGTATCGCAACTATTGCCGCAAAACAGATATGGATGAACCGCCGCCTCTGGACGACGGCAGCTGTAATGAGATCGTGACGCCCGTGACTCCAGTCGTTCCCCCCAGCGATGACCCGCCGACCGAAGGAGAGATTACGGCCGCCACTGGAATGAAACGCCTGGAGAAGAAGAAGGCCAACAGAAGTGATGTGAACCTCGAGGAGAAGTATTATAGATATGGCATACGTCCGGAATGGCTGAACGTTCAGAGAGTTATTAACCACAAGACTTTACGCGACGGAAGGATAATGTATTTAGTGAAGTGGCGAGACTTGCCGTACGACCAGTGCTCGTGGGAGTTCAACGACAACTCACAGCTCGAGCTGGAAATCACTGAATTGAAGAAAGCGGTGGACGGCTATTGGGATCTGAGGAGTACTATGGATACGTCAATGAAGAAGAATAGCGGCGGATCCAAGAAAGGGAAGGGAAAGAAACCTAAGAATGAAATGCGAAGCGAAGACTACTTAGAGCGTCGATCCACTCCTCCGCCCGATAAGCCTACTGTCGATCCGAAGAAGAAATACGAATACCAACCGCATTACATCGACGCCACTGGAATGGAGTTACATCCCTACCAACTCGAGGGCTGCAATTGGCTCCGCTATTCGTGGTCTCACAGAACAGACACTATTTTGGCCGATGAGATGGGTTTGGGAAAGACTATACAAACCATTGTATTCTTGTACTCATTGTTCAAAGAGGGTCACTGTAAGGGACCTTTCCTGGTGTCGGCCCCACTCTCTACTATCATTAATTGGGAGCGAGAGTTTGAAGTGTGGGCTCCGGACTTCTATGTGGTTAGTTTGCATTGAATTCATTCTCCCTTTTATTGATGTCTAATAATTATTTTAATGTAATTTCAGGTGACATATATTGGCGACAAAGACAGCAGAGCTGTGATCAGAGAACACGAGTTAAGCTTCGAAGAGGGGGCGGTTCGCGGGGGCGCTAAAGCATCCCGTATTAGAAAGGACTGTCCCATCAAATTCCATGTTCTGCTCACATCATATGAGCTGAATTGTATCGACGCGGCAACCCTTGGGTCACTCGAGTGGCAGGTGTTGGTCGTGGATGAGGCCCATCGCCTGAAAAACAATCAGTCAAAGTTCTTTCGTATATTGAATTCATATAAAATTAATTATAAACTACTTTTGACGGGAACTCCACTTCAAAACAATTTGGAGGAATTGTTTCATTTACTCAACTTTTTGAGTTCTACGAGTTTTCAGTAAGTTTTTAATTATTGTTATTTGACTGTAATTTCTTTTACTAATACTGTATGTGATTGTGTGTATGATTAGTGATATGCAGGGATTCCTCAATGAGTTCGCAGAGATAGCCAAAGAAGAACAGGTGAAGAAATTGCACGACTTATTGGGTCCGCATCTCCTCCGACGACTCAAAGCCGATGTTCTCAAAGGTATTCCAGCGAAGAGTGAATTCATCGTAAGAGTCGATTTGGCGCCGATGCAGAAGAAGTACTATAAATACATTCTGACGCGAAATTTTGAAGCTCTTAACACGAAAGGCGGCGGACATCAGGTCTCGTTAGTGAACATAATGATGGACCTGAAGAAGTGCTGTAATCATCCGTATCTATTCCCGGCCGCGGCTCAAGAGGCGCCTAAGATGCCGAATGGCGCCTATGAGGGCAATGGACTGGTCAGGTCTTGTGGCAAACTTATATTACTCCAGAATATGATGCGAAAACTGTTCAATGAGGGCCATAGGGTTCTCATATTCTCGCAAATGACCCGAATGTTAGACATTTTGGAGGATTTTCTTGAATTTGAAGGCTATAAATACGAGCGAATTGACGGCGGAATTACCGGTTCCTTACGCCAGGAAGCGATCGATCGTTTCAATACTCCCGGAGCGCCACAATTCTGTTTCTTACTGTCGACCCGCGCGGGAGGACTCGGAATCAATTTGGCGACGGCTGACACTGTGGTCATCTACGACTCCGACTGGAATCCACACAATGATATCCAAGCGTTCAGTAGAGCCCATCGTATAGGACAGGCCAACAAAGTTATGATTTACCGATTCGTCACCAGAGCCTCAGTTGAAGAGCGCATTACACAAGTGGCCAAAAAGAAGATGATGTTAACTCATCTGGTGGTGAGGCCAGGACTGGGCAGTCGTTCGGCCGCAATGTCTAAGCAAGAGTTGGACGATATCTTGCGATTCGGAACCGAAGAGTTGTTTAAAGATGAAGAGAAGGTGACGGAAGAGAGTACTATTCATTACGACGATCAGGCAATTGACGGTCTTCTTGACCGCACTCAAGAGGGCATTGAGCAGAAGGAGCTCTGGGCTAACGAGTACTTGAGTTCATTCAAAGTGGCCTCTTATGTGACCAAAGATGTGGACGAAGACGAACCCGAGACTGAAGTGTTGAAGCAGGAGGTGGAGAGCGCAGACCCCGCCTATTGGGAGAAACTGTTGCGCCATCACTACGAACAACAACAGGAAGACTTGGCCCGAACTCTCGGCAAAGGGAAACGCGTCCGAAAACAAGTCAATTATAACGACGCGATGGGCGGTCAAGAAGAGCACAATTGGACTGAAAACATATCTGACTATAACTCAGATTTCTCGATGCCTTCTGGCAATGAAGACGATGACGACGACTTCGAGGACAACAAAGAAGAAAAGGGCGGACGATCTCGAAGGCGAGAGCGCGGAGAGAAAGACCGACCCCTTCCGCCTCTTCTGGCCCGCGTTGGCGGAAATATTGAGGTATTTTTAGTGCATTTGTTTGCTATTGATATTTACGACTGTATTTGATTGTTAACTCATTAGCAAAATATGTTAAGAAATGTTTCGCTATTTTCAAAGCAGTCAATAATAAGTGATATAAATTAGGAAAACATTTGTTAAGACGAAAGAATTGTTTTCAAAGGCATTTTCAAACATTTTATATTTTGTTGAAAGGTTTTGGGATTCAACGCTCGACAAAGGAA